TCGAAAAGCTGGATCTTCAAACAAAAAAAGACAAAGAGTGTATAACTTTATTGGAGGACAAGATCGAAGATTTACAACGAGAAAACAGAAAAACATGCATTGATATTAAAAATGTTCCTAAAATTTCTAAAGAGACAAAAGAAGACTTAATAAAAATGTTCCTAAGTTTATCCAAAAGCATTGGTTGCAAAATTGAAAAAGAGGATATCAAGGACATTTACCGGGTGCAAATTAAGCGAGACAATAATAAAAGTCCAGTAGTAGCAGAATTAACGTCAACATTACAAAAAACGGAGTTTATAAAAATCTAGTCATTATTAATATAACACACAAAGAAAAACTATGTGCCAAACACCTTGGCTTTACAACCGATGAATATTCCCCAGTCTATGTAAGTGAACTACTAACAGCAAAGGCGGCACGCTTATATTTTCTTGCGCGAGACCTTATTAAATCCAAGGAATACAAGTTCTGTTGGACAGCGCATGGAAGAATTTATGTAAGGAGAAATGAAGGTTCCCCTATAATTATTATTAAAAATGAAACTCAAATTCATAACCTAATGCAAAAGGATTCACTATTTGTACTGTATACTATTCTAAAACAAACTTATTTATTTTTACTTTTGTTAATATTTCCCAACTTTAGTTACAAAAAATTGTGCACAGTTTTGTTTGTTAAAGTATTGAACAAAATTACACAACCAAAAACACTCAACATATACCACACACAACCATACGAAACTACAATATATTTCATCAAAAGCGTTATAAAAACAAATAAAACGAAAATACATTACATCAATACATACAACGTAAAAAAGACTTCATTTAAACTACAGAATAAGCACAATATATTGAAACCAAACACGTATTACTAGTATATTATATTCAATTAATAAATACTAACAGTAACTATGGATAGTTCACTCAATACTATACATGAATTAGATAATATAGACATTGCACAATCCAGTGAATGTCATATACAAGATTTTCCCTTACGGAACATCAAACAAAAATCAGAAATCAGTATTATATCACAAAATATTCGGAGTGTATACAAAAATTTAGACGACCTAAAATTAAATCTCGTTCAACTTAATATACAGCCAGATTTTATTATTCTCAGTGAGAGTCAATTAGATAACAACAAACCGGTACCTGTTATAAGTGACTGCATCATATAATACAACCCACCACATAAATAAATGTGATGGTGTGACTGTCTATATAAATAGTAAGCATTCAGTAAGTGTTCGGGAAATTTATTTAACAGAGGGATCTTGTTTACAAATTGTTAACAATGACTGTCTTATTCTTGGTATCTACCGATCACCATCTAACGTACATGCTGAAAGTTTCATTAATTCTCTGAGTCTTCACTTAGAATCAATAAAAACATATAAACACGTTATTTTGACGGGAGATATTAACATTAATATAATACATAAGGATAATGAAAAATCACATGAAAAGCTAAACAGACTCAACTATCTGAATATGTTGTCTACACATGGTATACTACCGGGACATTTTATACCTACTAGAGAAAACAACTGTTTGGATCATTTTATGATAAAAATTGATAACAATAAAATTAACGCCACAATAATAGTAATAAATACATCAATTACAGATCATTCCATGACGTTTCTTAAGTTAAGCAAATTGTACAATCGATTCTCATTAAACAATAAATACAAAACCTCAATAGATTATGAAAAAGCCTTTATTAGTTTAGAAAATTCAAATTTGATGGATTTGTTTTCATGTACCGATCCTGACATTCTAACTGATTTATTAATTAATAGAATTCGAACGTCGATATTAGAAAATACTATAGTTCAAAAAGTACCCAAATAAATGCGAATATTAAAACCATGGAAGACTCAGGGTGTACTTAAATGCATAGGGAATCGAAATAACATGCAACTAAAATTGAAATCTGATCCTGATAATGTAGTGTTAAAAATCACATATAAGCGATATAGGAATTATTGTAATAGCCTCATTGAGAAACTGAAGCGCAGATATAAACGAGATCAGATTTCAAAAGCCACTGGAAGCTCAAAAACACTTTGGAAGGTAATTAATAACATTACTCAGCGCAAACAGCCATCTGATAGGAATGTAGATTTGCTCAATATAAAATCAACTCCTTCTGAATCTGTCAATTTTATTAATGAGTACTTTGCAAACGTGGGAAAAAAATATATTGTCACATTCTGATTATAGATATGAGAGAGATAAAGTGAATCCGCATGTTTCATCTTTTGTACTGTTGGAGGCCGATGCACAGGAAGTCAGAACCATATTGATGAGTCTAAAAACTGAAAGTGCTCCTGGATATGACAATATTCCTACGATATTTTTAAAACTAGCACACGTATTACTCGTCCCAATAATAACACATTTGGTCAATATTTGCTTTAGAAATGGAGTGTTTCCAGCTAGTCTAAAACGAGCTTTGATTACTCCTGTGTATAAAGGTGGAGATAAAGGCGATCTTAATAATTTCAGGCCTATCTCGATTTTACCAGTTATATCAAAAATATTGGAGAAGTTGATAAATAACCGTCTGATTGAGTACTTAAATAAATATAATATAATTTCAAACTCGCAATTCGGATTCAGACGAGGAATAGGCACAGAAGATGCAATTACTGCACTAACATCACTCATTGTTGACCAAGTGGACAAAGGGAACAAATGTTTAACAGTGTTTTTGGATATAAAAAAAGCTTTCGATAGCGTCTCAGTTCCTACTCTTGTAGAGAACCTAGAGCTTATTGGTATACGAGGGGTTCCATTGCATTTTTTCGAAGATTATCTAACAAACCGCAGGCAACAGGTCAAAATGGGTGAGCATCGTAGTCACGACTCTACCATTACTAATGGAATCCCACAGGGAAGCGTTTTAGGTCCAACACTATTTTTAATATACGTAAACACTCTTTGTAACATGACAATACATAATAGAACCGTATTTTCTTATGCAAATGATACTGCTATAGTGTTTTGCGGGAAAAATTGGAAGGAGGTTCGTGAAAGTGCTGAAATAGGCTTAGTTGGGATTGCACGATGGTTAAAAACTCATCTCTTGACTCTCAATGCAGCCAAGACAAATTATATATGTTTTTCCAACTATATCAGAACGCAGCCTAAAAATTTTAATATTAAAATACATTATTGTAATGACTTCTCTAGCACTCATTGTGTATGCCCCCAATTAAGTAAAGTAACCAGTACAAAATATTTGGGTATACTATTGGACCAGCGTTTATCCTGGCATTTGCATATAGAGCTGTTAATGACAAGAATCCGGAAGATTATTTGGCTTTTCAAAAATTTAAGATATCTGACAACAACACAAATATTAAAACAAATATATATTTCCTTAGCCCAATCAGTGTTGTCGTACTGTATTAGTATATGGGGAGGTGCAACGAAAATGAAATTTTTGGATTTAGAGAGGGCACAAAGATCGCTGTTGAAAGTTATATACTTTAAACCTTATAGATTTCCAACTCAAGATTTATACTCCCTTTGTGAACTTCTAACAGTCCGCAAATTGTATATATTAAATATTATTCTCAAATTACATAAGACCCTTGTATACAACCCTGTATCTGATAATAGAAGGAGAAACAAAAATGTAGTAATAAATATAACCGTAAAAACAGCATACGCTGGGCGGCAACAATCAAGCCAGTCAACTTATTTATATAATCACATAAACAGACAACTGAATATATATCCAAAACCACAAAAGAATGTAAAACAGCCTTAGTTGAATGGCTTAAAAGCAAGGATTATAATGAAATTGAAAATCTTATAAAATAATTCTAAAATAAACAAGTACGCACGCACACAATTCACACACGCACGCACACAACCAAATTCATATTATATCTCTAAATTAATTTAAGTTTTTTCTTGAACTCTAAAAAAGATAGGATATTGCTAATAAAAAATAAAAAAAAGAATATTGTAAAGTTTAGCTACCTATGTAATGTAAAAAGGAAGAGCGAGGTCTCCTGAAACAGGTATGATAAATACTTAAAAGGGGACTTCATGATATATTGTAAATTGTAAACTAAGCTGAAGAATAAACATTTTTGATTTTATTTTGATTTTTTGATTTTCATTCATTAAAAGAGTTTTTAATTTGTTTGTGGAAAATCACATCATCATCAATTGGTAATTTTATGTAGATAAGGCTGTAGATACAAAGTGAATGGCGACTTTTAAATTTTCTCTTGTTTACATTAAATGGGAGTAATGTCTGCTTGATTATGAATATGATTAGTATATTAGTGGGTAAAAATATGGTAATAGTGAGACTTAGGTGTAAGTGTAGTAGGTTTTGAAGTAAGTAATCGTAAGTATGAAATATACATTGATACTCTAGAACTAGTCATTTAGTGTTATTAAACAATTGTTGGATTTGAGCTTCATTAGTTATTGTGACTATCGGAGAATTTTCATTTTTTCTGACATAAACATTTCCGTAAGCGGTCCAGCAAAAGGTAAATTCTGACGACTTTACCAGATCTCGGGCTAGATAGTACAGACGTGATGCTTTCGGTGTCAATTGCTCCGATACGACGATAGGTGTTTCTTCTTGTTTGGTAAATCCTAGATGCTTTGCTCTAAGTTTTGTTTTATTTATTTTATTAAATACTTTGCATTTCTGTAGAAACTCAGTTTTTAGTAAAGTTGAGGCTGTTTCGGTTACTATGGGTGAATTTTGGACTCCATCCTTTTTCCCTCGCACTCTGTAAATATCCTTTACATCTGTCTTCTTCAAACTAGCGCCAACTGTAGTAGCCTAAACAGATGAAAATATCAATTAAGTCTTCTTTAGTTTCATTATCTTTTTTTGGAACATTCTTTAATTCAAAGTTAGTTTTCTTCAAATTTTTTTGCATATTTTCAATTTTATCTTCTAGTATTCTGATATATTTTCTATCTTCCCTCTTTTCTAGTTCTAATTTTTCAATTCTTTTCTGAAAATCCATTTTGTTTAGTTAAAAAATCAATTGAGCTCTCAATTTTGTTATTTGTTTCCTGTATTAACTTTAATGTAGGATTAATTTTATTAAATTCTTGTTTTTGGGCAGCGAGCATAGATGTAAACATATCTTTAATATCTTCTCTCAAGGTGTTCAGGTCGTTATTTCCAGAAGTATGTTGTCCTTTCGACGAGGGGCTATCGTATTCCTTTCTCTTTTTAGCTCGACCATAAACAAAATTTGGTGGAGTAACAGATTTATCATAGTTATAGTCAGTTTCATGTTCATTCAAGTGCGATTCGGACGCGGACTTGATCATTGCGAGGATTGAAGTTGTTTAAACTTGTTAACAGAGCGTAGTCTTAATTAAGATTCTAGCGGGTGCACTAGTACTAGGAACGTATAACAATATAAGAAGTTCCTTCCTTGCTTAATGTATTTTATTTTAGAAAGAATAATAAATGTATCATTGAGCTACAAACGTGTACAGTAAGTACCAGGAACTCATAAATCAGTTACAGCTTATTTCCACTCTAGTCAGACGATCTGAGTTTAGTTATCTATCTCTGTTACCCTAGTCGTTATAATGCAGTGGTACGTACCAGGCAAACAGATGTATGAAGAACTTGATTTAATATAATTAAAAATAAAATAAATTGCTTTCATGTTTTATAATAAAATGGTATACTCTGATAAAGTTTACAGCAGAAGCGTTCGTGTATATGTCGCAGGCATTTTGTGTGAATCCGCCGTTTACATATGGTGTCGTCAGTTTAGAAACGCTCGCTGTTAAGTAATTTGCCGAAGGTAAAATGACAATTCGTTCAATTGTTATAATTTTAATGTTGGTTGTAGTTTTAGGGTGACCATGAAGAAAACACAGTTTGGAATAATCAGCCTAAATAATAATTAACTTTTTAGAGATAATCAATTAGGTGGGTACATTAATAATTTCTTGAAGTCTTGGCATATTCTTCTAACTTATATGACATTTCAAAGATATCAAATGATACTATTTAAAATGTCCGCGCTGGTTCGAGAAGGGGATGAGAAATGGGAATGGAAACTCACCAATATAATTTTAATAACTGTCCTTCGATATATATGGTTGGCGAGTCCACGCCGATCAGCGGTTTTCACTTGCACTTGAGTTTTTTGTGGCCACAAACACAACACCTTTATTTGTTACACATGTATAATAGATACTTCACAGGTTTATATATGAGTTCCGAGGCAGTAATGTCGCCTATATTAATTTTCAATTCGGAGCACTCGCGAAAATCTTCTACGTCGAATGCATCCAAAACCGGAACCGACTTTTTCTATCAGCGCGCCCTTGCGGCGAACGTATTTGGCGAGTGACAAGGACGGAGATATGGGAGGGGCAAGGAAAGAAAAGGACAGGATGTCCTTCAACGGAAGAACCGCACAAAATACTAATTATTTAAATTTATTATTTTATAATATTGATCAATTTCACATGTCTCTTTATTAATGAATATAAAAACCATGACCATAGTAAATGGCGTAAACATGCCCCCCAGCTTGACAAAACCCAGGTTTGTCAAAACTAATAATATATAAGTAATAATGTATGTATCTCTAAGTTAAGCAAAATAAACTAATTTTATATATTTATTATATTATTAAGTAGTTATATGTGTGGACTGTATAATAATTTATTGAGTTGGAAGTGGATATATCTTTACGACAGGACGGCGATAGACACCAGACTTTGTACGAACATTCACGACTCGCACTATCCCATCTTTGCCAGGAAATACCCGTTCTATTATGCCTAATGGCCAATCTAAAGGAGAACCATTCTCTGATTGAAGTAATACAACAGTACCTTCTTTGATTAGTGAAGTATCTTTAGTCCATTTATTACGACTTTGTAAAGTATTTAAATATTCTAAACTCCACCGTTTCCAAAATGATTGCAGTAGGCTATCGAGCATACGCTTTCTGTCAGTAATATTCACATTTTCAGAAACAGGTCCTGTAGGAAAGGATCTTAATGGAGTCAGAGTTAAGAAATGTGCGGGTGTCAACGCTAGTGGCTCAGATGGGTCGGAGCTTAATACAGATAATGGCCGTGTGTTTAATACCGCCTCGATCTGAGTCAAAAGAGTAGACATCTCTTCGAAAGTAAGCAGTCGTGTACCAACTACCTTATTAAGATGTGATTTAACACTTCTTATATTGCCCTCCCAAATTCCACCAAAATGAGGTGAGGAGGGTGGATTAAATTTCCAAATTATTGAGTTATTTATTAATTCAAAGTTAAGTTTCTCATTATAGTCTTTTGAAGAAACTAACTTATATATTTCATCCAGATACGATTTCGCACCAATAAAATTGGTACCGCAGTCTGTATAAACAAATTTAATAGGTCCGCGCCGTGATATAAACCGCCTAAAAGAGTTTAAAAAAGACTCTGTACTCAAGTCGCAAGATAATTCAACGTGTACCGCCTTAGTTACAAGGCAAACGAAAAAGCAAATATACGCCTTTTGACTTCGTACGCCGCGCCTACGATAAGGTATAATTTGTAAGGGTCCAGCGTAATCTATACCGGTATGATAGAATGCCTTAGCTTGTTGCACTCGGCATGCTGGTAAATCAGCCATCAACGGAAACTCATTTTTCGGATTAACCTTGAAACAAATGTTACAATTTCGTATTCGTTTACGAACAATATTTCGTGCAGACAAAATCCAAAACCTTTGACGCAGCAATGACATCAATAATTGGGGTCCGGTATGTAAATATTTATTATGGTAATAATCAATAATTAAATTAACAATATGATCACGCGAGGGCAACAATATTGGATGTTGACTGTCATAAGGCAAGTCAGCGTTATTCAAACGGCCGCCAACTCGAAACAAACCATCACTAACAAAAGCCTTTAATTTTAGAAAAGCCGGTGATAAAGGTTTATTGGAATTAAATTTATCAAATTCAGTACTAAAATAAGCAAGTTGTAAATCTTTAAGAACTAATGATTCGGCCACTTCAAAGTGAGATGGATCGAATATTTTAGGGAGTTTTTTAATAAATCTCAATATATAAATTACGACGCGAAGCAATTTCGGCCATGAAGAAATTCTTAAAGCGAGCTTACATAACATAGGAGGCTCTTTTTCAGCTACAGAAACTAAAACGCTAGCTTTCTGTTCCGGGACGTCACCAATCGTGGCTACGTCTAATTTAGAAATCGGCCATTGTGCACTAGGCAAACGTGCGAAACTAGGGCCGGGAAACCAAAGCGGATGATCGCTTAACTGTGCAGGTGTTAAACCACGCGAAAGACAGTCCGCTGGATTTTCTTTACCCGGGATAAAATAAAAATTACTAGGATCCAATAACTCCTGAATTTTGGCAACCCTGTTCGCCACAAAAGTCTGCCAACGAGAAGAAGGCGCCTCAATCCAGGCTAATGCAACCTGACTATCGGTAAATGCAAAAATATTATTTATTTTTATACGTTCGGAATACGTATCAATGACAATCCGCATTAATTTTGCCAAAATTAAGTTACCACAAAGCTCCAAACGAGCCAACGTAACATTACGCACTGGCGCTACACGCGACTTCGCACATATTAAATTAATTAAATATTTATTTTCACCAGGAAAATATATATGTAGGTATACAACCGCCCCATACGCCTTTTCGGAAGCATCGGCGAATCCGATCACGGATACTAAGCACTCAGGGTTGTAACCAACGTATCGCGGTATTTTAATATACCCTAATAAAGGTAATTCCAATTCAATTTGACTCCACAGTGATATTATATGCTGTGGTGGTTTTTCATCCCAATCAATCTGATCGGTCCATAACGAACGGACAATTAATTTCGCTAATAATGTAACTGGGGCAACGAATCCCATAATGTCCCATAAACGGGCAATAGTAGAAAGAATGTTACGTTTAGTGCATTCACACTTACGTTCGTTCACAGTGAACATAAATATGTCTTCACCTGGTAGCCAGCGAAGCCCTAGAATTTTAAAAGAATCATCAGGGCCGAATTCAATATCGGCGGAAACACGAGCGTCTGAAGGTATATTTTTCATTACTTCGGAAGAATTACTAGAAAACTTTACAAGATCAAACCCCCCAGCATGGAACATTTCCATTAGCTGTTGTGACAGCTCGATACCCATCGAAGGAGAACTACAAGACGTAACCAGATCGTCCATGTAGATATCGCGTTCAGCAACAGAAGCCGCGACTTGAAAATTCGAACCTTCGTCTTTAATCAATTGACGGACCGTTCGAATAGCAAGGTAAGGACTCGCACATAAACCGAATGGAACTCTAGTCATCTGATATAATTGAAGCGAATGACTGCGATCATCGCGAAATAATACCATTTGGAATCGCCAATCATCAGGTTGTACCCATATTTGTAAATACATCTGTCTAATATCAGCGCTAATGGCTACAGGAAATAATCTAAAATTCAACATTATTTTAAACAAATCATTTTGTAAGTTGGGACCAACGTGTAATAAATCATTAAGTGACAACCCTGACGACGTTTTCATACTTGCGTCCAAGACTACGCGCAGTTTAGTTGTACTTTTGTCGGGCCGTATGACAGCATGATGCGGAATAACGTAATAAGAATCAAACTTTAAGTCACCGTTGAACGGAACCAAGTATCCTTTTTTCAAATAATCCAAAAAGACCTCATTGTATTGGTGGCGAATATCATCATTAGACGCTAATCTCCGCTCCAACGATAAAAACCTACGCACGGCTAATTGTAGTGAATCACCTAATTTAGAGGGATCCTTTTTAAACGGTAGCGAAACGATGTACCGACCGCTCTGATCACGTAACGTAGTCTGAGAATAAAATTCGTCGCAATCCCTTTCATCTGAACTTAGCAAGTTGGCTGTAGGCACGTCCTCTAACTCAAAAAACCGATTTATCGAATCTTTTAACGAAAAGTTATAATCTAATGTGCAATAAGTGTGCACGTCTGACTCAGTATTAAATACCGGGGCTTGACCGTAAACAATAAATCCAAGCGAAGTTTCTATAGCTACGGGTTCATTCAATTCGCGAGCTATAACATTCGGTCGTACAATACGAGCGAAAATGTCCGAACCGACTATCAAGTCGATCGCGCCAGGTTCCGAATAAGTCGGATCTGCTAACGGAATGTCCTTCAAATAATCCAAACATTCGCGATCTATCTTCACGGAAGGTAACTCACTTGTAATACGGTGAGCCACTAACGGTTTAATAGAAAAACAAACAGAATTGTCCAAAGTAGAACATAATGTTAAGCAAGTA